AACATGCAGCCCAAAGGCCCGTTGTCCAAAGGCCTATTTATGGGAACACGACAATACCCACAACCAGGACTCCTTGCGGCCCCTCCCTTTGGCACCAAGATGAGTTTATGCTTTCCCTCCTCACTGGGTTTCCAGAAGCCTCTCAGTGGAGCAGCGCCCATGAGAAGCGCCCACTTCCATCTGGGGACTCCAGGGTCTGCTGGGCCAGGCGTCCAGATCCTCTGAGCCTCCGCGTACCCTTCAGGGAAGCGGGGCGAGGGCTGCAGCAGGAGGAAGAGGCAGTGCGTCAAGGGCCTGGACTGACAGAGGCCAGATACGGGGCCGTGTTTGAGAACAGGGAGATGTCACGCAAAGACCCAGATTCTCAGACTCTCTTGCAAAACAGGAAGACCTGATTCTATCGTGGCTGTGCTGTGTGGAGCTGAGTGGTGGCTGACCACAGGACCTGGTGGCCTCGGCCCGCAGCCCGTGCCCGGCGGGGCCTGTGCTCCCAGGACTGGGCGCACACACAAGGCGGGCCATCAGGGTGGCTTTGCGCACTGGCCTGATCCTCACAGCCCCTCGTAACTGGATGACTACCCCCATTTCACCAGAGGGAAATGGAGGCTCTGCATGCAGTGAGCTGCCCTCCTGAGTGGGGTCGGAACACGGGAGGCCTGTGCGGACGCGGCACAGCCCGCAGGGTCCTCAGCTGAGCGACCACATCCAGGGACCACGGTCCACCACCCGGACAGTGGCTGTTGCTTAAACTCCTCTTTCTTAAAAATAAACCACAGGGACTTCCCTGGTGGCGCAGTGGTTAAGAATCCACCTACCAATGCAGGGGACACGGGTTCGAGCCCTGGCCCGGGAATATCCCACACGCCGCGGAGCAGCTAAGCCTGTGCGCCACAGCTACTGAGCCCGCACACCTAGAGCCCGTGCTCCCAACAAGAGAAGCCACTGAGATGAGAAGCCTGCGCACCGCAACGAAGAGTAGCCCCCGCTCACTGCAGCTAGAGGAAAGGCCGGGCATAGCAACGAAGACCCAACACAGCCAAATATAAATAGATAAATAAACAAACCACAGACAGCTTCCCCCGATCTTGTTTGCACGGCTGTCCACCCCGACGTGCTGCAGCCGAGCTGGAGACAGGACCAGGTGCGAAGCCTGCGGGGAGTCACAGAGGCCCAGCTCCAACTCCCATCTCCTCCAGAGCTCGCCCGGGCTGCGGCCACCTCCCGCGAGGGCCGGCCCTCGTGCTCCCGATGCCGCGAGGTGCAGGGCAAGGGCGTCTGCCCACAGCACTGCTTTGCCGCACGCTGGGCCAAGCGGGCACGAGGCCAGGTGGTGGTGGGCAGGGCTCCAGCCACGCTGCTAAGCTTGTCTACAGGTCTTGCTCCCAAGGCTCAGTCTCCCTCCCTAAGACATGCGACGGGGACGCAAGCGAACACCTGGTCCCGAGCCCTGGACGCCTGGCCGGCGCCGGCCCGGGGGCACTGCAGTCTCGTGGCGTCTCTGAGCTGGGCCCGTGGAGACAGGACGGGGCTCTCCTTGTGGGTGTCGGGACCCAGGCTAGGGCCGGTGCAGGGCCGGCAGGACCCCGAGCAGCCCAGACCAGAGAGCTGCCCGTCTGCTGTGCAGAGCTGCGCGTGTCCTTAGGGACACTGTGAGAACGGGGTGGTGACACCCGGTGGGGGCACTGAGAGCTGAGGCTGTGCTCCGCCCCATGGGGAAGCTCAGGACCACGCTGGCTCCCGACCAGGCGACCCAGGCCCGGCCCTCATGCCCTCCGCAGCCCCTGCTTGTGGCCCTTCCCACTGCTCCTGCTGTGCTTCCCAAACACGCCCACACACTCAGGCCTGGAGCGCAGCGGCCTCCTCCTCGTGCTTGGCCTGAGGAGGTCCACAGATGGGGCAGGATTCTGATTGACTGTCCCCTCCTCCGGGAAGCCTTCCTGGGCTTCCGACGCACACGACACAGACCTCAGTCACTTGTGCACTGCAGCAGACTTCTGCCGTCCCGCTTCCCCTCCAGAATTCCTTAAACCATTCTCCAGGGGGTCGTTTAAAATCGCGAATCAAATGAAGTCAGCCTCTTACTCGAGACCTGCCTCTGGTGGACCCCCAGGCCCCGCTCCCCGAGCGGCCCCTGCCGCGTCTCCACGCCAGCCCCTGCCCCCGCTCAGCTTGCTCACACCCTTCGGGGCACTGGCCGCACAGTGCAGGCACTCTGGGTCGCTCAGAGGCGCCGGCCGAGGGCCACCCGACGCCAGCGGTGCGGTGCCGGGACAGGGGCAGGTCTGTCCGGAGGAGCCGTCCCTGCCCAGCAACATCCTCCCACCACCCTCGTCACCAGCAGTGCTGCCCCGTGGGTCCCCAAGTCGTCTCGTAGGGCTTCCGGCCCCCGGGCCTTACAAACGGAGACAACCCTTTTGAAGGGAGCAGTTGTGTGAAAGTGGGGCCTTCCAACCTTGAGGCCGCCCAGGACTTTCTGCGAAGGCTCCCTGGGCGTCAGGATGGGGCCGTCCCTCTAGCCCATCTGGTTTCGAGGGTCAGGACCCTTGTCTCAGAAGCCGGCAGTGACGGCTCCATAAGACACTGCTCCCTTATTACGGCTCAGCTTGGATTCCTGAACCCGAGGCCCAAGTGTCCTTCCAGAAATTCAAGTAGGAGTCACAAGTCACTATGGCCAAACCCAGCCCCAAGGCAGGTTTCGTTTAGTTCAGACAGTTTTCGTTTTCAATCAGGAAGTTTTCCATAAAAATTGAACCAGATGAAGTCTGATTCCTGGGCCTGCGTCCCATCGCGTGGGAGCAGCGAGGCCCGAGCAGTGGTCCCTATTTACCACGCTGCCCCCACTCCCTACCGCCTGCCACCGGCCTCTGACACCCCGGCTTGGCCCTGTGGGCCTTGCCTCCGAGGGGAGAGGCCCCAGTGCACCTGGGCCTGCGGGCGGGGCAGGGGAGGACACCCAGAGGGGTCCTCAGTCGTCGTTCTGGCCGGCTGTCCTGCAGAGCCAGCGGGAGGCCCGTACGCCGCACTGAACGCCGCCCCGTCCACGGTCTGCGGGCCCCCAGACGCCCCCTGCTCCGGGGGCCGACAAGTGCGCGGCCCCAAAACCCCGGGCTCCCGACCCGGCTCGTCCCCAACTTGGGCCAGAAGTCCCGCTGCTGCGCCACCTGGCGCTGGACGTCCGGTTTACGGAAGACTCTTTGACAGTTAGCACTTCGAAAAGGTTCAAAGTAGTTCTTCAGGGGAGGGATGGCAGGAAAAGACAAGCAGCGACGGTGGAGGGCGGGGAGGCCGGGAGTGGGCGTGGGTGGGATGAAGGAATCTGACCAGTTATATTTAATAAAAAGCTTAAGAGCCACAAACAGGAAGCAGACCTATTAAAAGGCAACACTGACCTACGGCAGGAATGTGAACTCGAGTTGCCCGGAGCAGTGTCACCACGGCCCCTGCCCCACCCCAGTACCCAGGGCCCCAAACACGCCTCCTCCCACGTTCCTGCTCTGGGACACCCAACTCTGAGTCCGCCTCGGGCTAGAGCAAGGGGAGCAGAGGGCAAGGTCGGCAGGATGCCGTCCACCCCAGGAGAGGACACGGATGCTGCCCTCCGTCCCTCTGTGTGGACCAGCAGGGCCGCGAGGCCTGGTGGGCGGGCGCCCGGCGTGGGCCTCTCCCCCCGGGCAGCTTGGCTCTCACCGCCCAGTGCCCGGAGGGCCCCACACGTGCAGGCTGGGGCCCTGGGGACTGAGGTCTGGACACGGGCCTGCACGTGCTCCCTGGGGCCCAGTTTGGCTGAAGTGACGACCAGGAGTGGCCAAGGGACAGCGGGGAGGACAGGATGGGAGCCTGAAGCCCGGTGTTGTGGCTGGACTCCCACGGGTACCCCTGCCTGCCCGGGGTCCCTCATCCGTGACGGGGCTCCCGCCTCGGTAGAGGCCTCAGGGCACAGTCCCACAGCCCGGGCCGCAGGAAGCAGGCCTCTGCTGACCGCCGCCCTCCCTCGCGAGGGGCAGAGGGGGGGAGTCTCACGAGGCAACAGCTGGGCCAGGCTCTCAGGAGAGGACCCTGCTTCCCAGCCGGGCGGGCACTACCCCACACAGAGAGTCTGCCAGAGGAGCCGTGCTCTGAGGCCCCCCATGCCCACCAGATGCGGCCCGCCCGCGGCTTCCCATCCCCTAGTCCCGCGGCTCCAAGCAGCATAGCCACGTGCGGGTGTGAAGGCACGTGTGTGCACCCACGGATCCGCTAACGGAAGCACCCCTCGGGTGTGTCCTCGCCTGTCCCGGGGCTCTGCAGGCCCCCTCCCCGTCCCCCGCCCCGTCCTCAGGGCCTCCGCGTCTCCCTCTTTGCAGGGCTCCCCCCTCCCTGTGGCCAGGCCCTACTCAGCTGTGCCTCTTCCTGGGATCCCCCGGCTGCCCACGGCCCTCTCCTCGTGCTCAGCTCACGGTCCACACCTCCTGCACGGGTTCGCTCTGCCCCTCCCCCGACCACGGCCACCACACCTGGCCAGCGGGACCTCAGGAAGCTGGGCTGCGAGGAGTGACAGGGGTGGAGCTGAGGACAGCTGGGTGCTCTGTCCCAGCAGCAGACGCGCACTTCGACCCCACCGTAGACAAGTCCCACCGCAAACCGAGCGGGAGGCAGGAAAGGAGGTGGCGACGCACGTCCTGGGCAGCCCTCTGGCTCCGGGGCCGCGTGCCAGCCCTGGCGGCCTGCCTCACCAGCCCCTCGGAACCGCCTGTTAGAGCAGCACAGTCCCGTCCATGCACAGGCCACGGGATGGTGCAGTGGGCGGTCGGACCAGATGCCGGGTCCACACCAGGCTCCTCTAGGACACACACTGGCTTTCCAGCCACAGGTGGCGGGACCAGAAGCCATGATGCCATGTGGGCTGAGCCCGCAATGCTGGCATGGGCGGACCTAGACCCTGAGCCGAGGGCCAGTGTTTGGGTGCCGTCTCCACCTTCCCTGCACGGCTCCCGTGAGCAGAAAAAAATGACCACACTCACCAGGGATGTGGACCTTGAACTTGCCACTCTGGCCGAAGGCGCTGGCAATGACCCCCAGCTCCCCAGTTGACAGGTGCACCTTGAGCCCCACGAAGAGCTGGATGTTGGTCTCCTTTTTGAACAGGGAGCGGCCGATCACACTGTAGTCGTCCATCACCTGTGCCCACACCCCGCCCCGGAGAGAGCATTAGTGCCTGGGAAAGGTTGGGCTGCCACACTGCCCAGGTGGTCCGCCCGTGTCACAGGTGATGCCCGGGCCCTCTCGCCACTCCCCCCCACCACGGACACCTGCTGGGCCTGGGCTGGCACCAGGCCGGCTGTGGGCACTTGGTTGGCTGGACGCGCTCAGCTCGTCCACGTGGCACTTTCCCACCTGACAGATGGGAGGAGGAGGCACTGCCCGTCCACGACCACAGAGCCCAGGGGCAGAGGTGACGAGAGTCCGCAGCTGCCCGCCTCTGCACGGCTGCCCACCCACCTGTCCCCAAGCTGGCAGCGCTCCTCAGGAAAGCCTTCACGGCACTGCAGGCCGAGGGGATGGCGCCCACCCCCGAGCCTGCCCCACGCTCTCTCCAGCATCCCCCGCACCGAGGAGGCACTGAGAACCCGGCCTCTGCCGTCCCGCCCGCCACACGCACGTGCGTCCCAGCCTAGGGCCCCCCTCCCTGGCCTGGCCCACGTCCACCCCACAGACCGCGGCCCCACCTCCGCAGTGCCCCCAAGGCTCTCCCTGCTGGAGCCCCGTTTCCCCCGGCTCGCGGCTGTCAGCGTGGAGGCCCAGGCTGAGTGGAGGCACACGTGTGTGTGAGGAAGTTGGCCTGGGGCAGCCCTGGCTTCGCCACGAGCTGTGTTCCTCTGGAACCTTCTCCCAAGGGCTTGAGCTTGGGGCGGGCGATGTGTGAGTCCCGCCAGCCCTGGCCTCTGGCGGCTCAGGCGCGGGCCTCCCTGGACCTGCCTGGCTCCTCTCCAGGGCCTGTGCCAGGAAGGTGCCAGGCCTCTGCGCAGAGAGAAGGGAAGGGGGCGTGTGTGCACACGCATGTGTGAAGACCAGCTCTACCAGGCCTCAGAATGCCGGGTCCCACTAGGGGGCCACGGGAGAGACTTGGGGAGGCTTCCTCCTGCCCTCCCGGCCCCGTGCGCCGGCCTGGGGCAGCTGCATGGAGTCCGACCAGGCACCAGCTCGGGCGGCCGCGTGGAGGCCGGACGTGCTGCCAGTGGAGGGACCTGCTCCTGGGGACCTCCGGGGGCCAGGCGCAGAAACATCTTGCTTCTGCCCAAGATGCCACGATTTGGCCAAGGGCCAAATGGATGGATTGTTTTGAAAAGCAGAAACTGTCCCGCTTACCCTAAAAACCTTTTGGGAAAACATATCCTGTTCTGTTTGATTCATGGCGCTAGACGAAAGGTACGTGCATTCCTCCCCTCCCCAGGGATGGATGAACCGGATACAGGCAATGATAGGAATCATCATTCCCACTTGCACAGCCCTTTGTAATTCAGTCTCGTCCCCACACGAGACCCTCCTCCTTGTCCTCCAGACTCACAGGGCTCCCCTCGCGGCCGGACCCGGCTTGGCCCTCCGCACCGCACCGGCTGCGGGCATCCCCGCTGCCGCTGCAGGGCGCCCAGCAAGGCTGCAGGGTGAACTGAATGGAGGCAGCTCCTCCGACCTCAGCACAGGGGAGTCGAGGCGAACACGCGTCACCAGTCCCAAATGGTGAAGGGTGGCCCCGTCGCTTTTGCAGGACCCCCATCTGTACCCCCCACCAGGACGGCCTGCACGTGGAACTCTGTCCCAGCCTCGCCAGGAGCCCAGCCTGGTCCAGCAGGTGCCAGGACTTTGGCTGAACCGACCCAATGGTTCCGGACCAGCCATTCCACGTTCCCCACAGCCAGAGGCTGGTCCCGAGGTCAGCCTGGCCGCTGCGACTGCCTGCTGCCGGAAGGAGAGCCCTCGGAGAGCCCGGAACCCCAGCCCCTCGGAGAGCCCAGCCTGTGCGGACTGAGGCACCAGTGGGTCCCACTGAGCCCTCGCAGAGCCCTTGTCTGCAAGGGATTTCCACGGCCACTTTGCAGAGGTCAGAGCTGAGCTCAGGGACGAGACCTGAGCGGGTCGCGAATGCCAGAGCCAGGGGCACAGTGGAAACTCAAACCCCAGCCGGCCAGGCCTTTGCAATGTCCCCGCAGGAGCGTTCTGGACTGGCGGGAGTGGCAGGTGCACATTTCTGCGCCCCCAGAACACACCCCTCCAGTAGTTACAGGGGGTGGGGCCGTGAGAGGGGCTCAGCGAACGGCTGCTGCAGGCGCCCTCATTTCATGACGCTGGTCAGAGGGGAGGCCTCTGCAGTGCTGCAGGAAGACCAGAGGCGGCATCTGTCCTGGGCTGCGGGAAATGGTGAAGCTCAGCCCTCCGTCTCTGGAACGTGCGTGCCCCTGAGGGTTGAGCTCCTCTCCAGATGACGCTTCCAGCCGAGGCAGAGACCTCAGATACCAGACACACCAGCACATCCAACAAGGGAAGAAAGACCTTCTGAGACTAGCCGGAGGCTTTCCTTCTGAACCCACCGCCGTGACGGCGAGCCAAAGGCAACGCGCATGGAACCTGCGGGCGGCAGCTCCCCGGGAGCGACGCTGAGCCGCCACACAGTGACAGCCATAGCTCCGAGGGGAACGTGCACCGTCTGCGTGAGCTATCCGCTTCGTCTCTTGGCCCTTGGTGGCTGGAGGCCGAGCTCCCCAAGAGCAGTCACTGCCGCTCACAGAGCCTGGGCCCTCACCTCCACACCAGGCGAGTCCCCTCTGTCCCCGGCCTCTGAGCGGGGACTTGGCTGGCGGCGCACGTAATTATGTCATTACCCGTGTGTGTCTCTCTCAGGGCCGGCTGCCGTGATGAGGCTTGGGAACTGCCCAAGTTCTGGAGCGACTATTCTAATTCAAATTGGGGAAGTGGCAGCAAGGAGACAGGGGCGGCTGGCTGTGAAGCGGAGCCCTGAGCAGAGAGGGCTGGCAGGGCTGGGGCCCTGATCCATCTCCTCCGGCTCTGCAATCTGCGGCATGGGGCTTCTCGGAACCTCAGTTCCTTCCTCTGGAAAAGGCTGCTGCTAGGATGAAGGGTGTTGGTGCTGGCAAGAACACCTGAGACCTGGTAGCAGGACAACTGCCCAGAGGCCAGAGCCTCGATGAGCAGAACACGAAGCTGGGAGAATGACAGAAGCAGTGCCTACGGCGGGGGCTCCTCCAGCCCACCCAGAACCTCGAGAGCGAGCTATCCAACCCTCGGAGGACGGGAGCCGGGGGAGACCTGTGCCGCGAATGCGCCCTCGGAGTCACCGGGAACGACAACTCCCAGGTCCCTGGACGACGATGCCCGGCCTCATCCATCCTTTTTGGCCTCAAGAAACCAGTTGCCAAGACTGCATCTTTTCCTCCCCCAGCGCAGGGCGAGGCGTGTCTGATGCCCAAGTACACTGGGGGGCAACGATCAACCCCTTGTAATCTCCTGGTGCAAACCCAGGAACGGACATTAGCCTTCAAGTTCTTTCATTTGGTCAAGCGAGTTCCAGAGGCCCAGGCGGGGAGGCCTGGGGCGGCCAGGCGCTGGGCGTCACCCGAGGGGGGACCGTGCCACGCCCGCTCCCAGGCCGACCGGGCCGTCTTCCTCAAAACTGGGCCTGCCCAGCACCGAGCGGGCACCCGGCCTGGCAGTGACGAGCCTGGCGGGCCACGACCCCGACGCACGGAGCCTCCCTCCCTCTTTCTGTTCCCGTCGCCAGGCACCAACGCAGGCAGAGCCCCTGCTGGTGCTGATGGGGAGGCACAAAGGCACCGTCCCCAGAGGCAGCTGCGTTCTCCTGGAGAGAAAGGGAGGCTAACTCTTTGCTGGGCGCTCAGTGCATGCCAGGCTCACACTGCACGCCAGGCCCTCGCACGCGTGGTCGCGTCAACGCCCCACCAACTCCGTTAAAGAAGCGATGGGTTCCGGGGGTGGCGGAGGGGTGTGACTGGTCCGCGGCCGGGCCGAGGCAGCAGCACCTGCTCAGCACATCAGATCCAGAGCCAGCTCTTTCCACCGTGTCCGGCTGCCTTGACCCTGCATCTATACAGCGACAAAAAAGTCAATTTTCAAAGCGGGGGCCAATAAGCATCTCGGCAGCTGAGGGAGAGTCTTGGCTATCAGACGCTGTTTGGACGGCAGGAGAGAGGCCTGGGTTTGGGCCAGCACACTTGGGCAGCCATCAGATTTCCCCAGGGGAGGGCCCGCTCGGCCTCTGCTGCAGGAAGAACCTCTGTTCCTTGAGCAGCCTGGGAGCGGAGTCGGGGGCAAGGGGCAGCAGAGCTGGCCGAGCGGCTGGCTGGACCGCAGCATTGCTTCCTCCAGGAGTTGGGGGGCCTAGCCTGCCGGATGGCGAGGAACCCGCGCTGACCAGAGGCAGTCGCAGGCCGGCCCGCACCCGGTGCCCCGGGCACGTCTAACAAGCCATCAGCAGTGGAGCGGGGAGAGCTGGGAGCCGGCAGGCAGTGCCGCTTCAGACTTCAAAGCCGGCCAGCGCTCCTGGTGGTGTCTGCGTGTTTACCCTTGGCTGGGCAAAGGCCACAGGCTCCTCTGGCCATGCCCTCAGGCCTTCCCCGTCCGGCGCCAGTGGATGCCAGGCCCAGGGTGGCCGGCACACCCGGCCCGACCCCACCACGGGGGAGAGAAAGGTGTAGCCATCCGGTAGCCCGGGCCGCCGCACCGCGAGGGAAGTCCAAGTGAACAGCACCGAGCCCGGCACTCTGCACTGGCACCTCACACACAGCGGCCTCCCCTCCTCCTTCCGCCCTGAGAGGTGGGGAGCACGGCCCCCATTTTTCCAGCAAGGAAACTGAGGGGAAGAGACTCACCCAACGCCTGGCCTGCAGGGGCCCGTCCAGCGGGCCTGGAGTCCGTGCACACTGGGTCCCTGTGGCCTCGGTGGGAGACCTGCCATGCCCGGTCCTCTGCTCGTCCCCGCCTGGGTCCCCTGGCAGCCCCCGCCCAGCCCGCCGGCCTGCCTGTGCCCACCACGCCTTGGACCCACCATGCACGTGAGGGTGCAGTGCTGTCTTCATCCCAGTGGCCTGGAGAGGTGAGTGAGTGGGAGTTGGTGCAACATCTTTGTTTTCTAGGGATGTAGGTGGAACTACGCAAGCTGCCGGGGCCGGGGGGCGGCTGGGGCCGCTGGGCCCGGGCTGTGGCGGCAGTCGGAGGCGTGGGGCGGTGCAGGGCATTTACTATCCCAGGTATGAGCCCTCATTTGCCCACCTCCCTCCACGTGATTGAATGGTTGATTTTTGTTTGTGTTGGGTGTTCGTTGCTGAGCGCAGGCTTTCTCTAGTTGCGGCGAGCGGGGGCTACTCTTCGTTGCGGTGCATGGGCTTCTCATTGTCGTGGCTTCTCTTGCTGTGGAGCACGGGCTCTAGGCGCGTGGGCTTCAGTAGTTGAGGCTCGCGGGCTCAGTAGTTGCGGCACGTGGGTTCAGTAGTTGTGGCTCACGGGCTTAGTCGCTCTGCGGCGTGTGGGATCTTCCCAGACCAGGGCTTGGACCCGTGTCCCCTGCACTGGCAGGCGGATTCTTAACCACTGCGCCACCAGGGAAGTCCCACGTCCACATGAGTTTTACACATGAGGAAACAGGGGCCCACAGAGTGAGCAACTTAGCAGAGGGCAGCCGTGTGCACCAGCTCCAGGGTGTGCATGAGACAGCACAGGAGCCCTGGCTCCGCTGGCTGGGCCGCGGGGCTATGCCCAAGCCCACGGGGCTGAGGATCCTCATCTGGACCTGCGAGTGGGTAAGGGAGGGCGTCTTCTCATCTCCCCACGGGGCTGGAGGGGAAGGGGCGCAGGGCCCGATCCTGAGAAGGGAGGGGTGGGGTGGGAGGGGAACACCTGGGGGCCCAGGGGAGGGGGCGAGACCAGAGGGCGTGAGCGATGGAAACCCCGGCACACCCACTGTCAGGCCTTGGACATCTCCTCCTGTCACCTGGCACCCGCACTGACTCAGGGCTGGACCAGGAGGGGTGACCCTCCTCTGCTGCACGAGGATCAGAAACACAGGGCCTGCTGGGAGCCTCCGGGCCGACCCCACACGAACCTGAGCTCCCCGACACTGGGGTCTCAGCACTGCTGCCCTGAGTCAGCGGAACCCAGTCAAGTCCCAGGACCACCACTGCCATGCCTGACCCCCACGAGCATACGCCACAGGGACGCAGTGAGGCCTGCGTGTTCGTCCACCCTTGCACCTGTGGCCCGGTAGGCGTGGGCTCCCGTGCAGGGCTGCAGGCACAGATGAGGGGGTCGGGGGGCGCCCAAGGAACCACCTGCACTGACCAGGCGGGCCAGCCTGGTTCATGGGCCCCGCCTGCGTGTCAGCCTGGCTCTAACTGGCGGGGAGGACGCAGGCCACTGCCGCCTGGCTCCCTGTCTGGAGACCACAGGCGCCGGAGCCAGGTCTCCAAGGCCTTCCTGGCTGTCAGACCAGGCAGGGCGGTGGGCAGGAGGGAGGGGGAAGGCTGCTTACCCGCTCCACGACGCCGTGCTTCTGCTTCAGCTTGTACACTCGCAGCCCGGGCAGGGCGCTCTCGGCGTAGTTCTTATCTTCCAGCCCGTGCAGCAGGATGCCGTGGAAGGCCAGCCGGCATGTGTTGGCGTGGATGTCCGCGTCCAACCTGGAGCCAATCACCAGGCACAGCCGCGGGCAGGTGACGGGCTTCTCGAATTCCACAAGGGCCCACTGCTGCCGGGGGCAGCAGCCTTCGGAGGCCTGGCCCGCCCTCCCGTCGGCCTCACCAGCGTCCGTCTCGGCCGGCACCGAGCCCGGGCACAGGTACTGCTCCTGGAAGAGGTACTCCTGGGAGAAGTCGAAGGAGTCCAGCACGGGCTCGTGGGCGAAGCCGTCGGGGGCGGGGCTGAAGAACATCACCCGGCCCATGACCGTCTCGTGGCCCACAGTGATGTGGAACTTGGCCTTGGTCTGCAGGGCGCCCCGGAAGTACGGGATCTTCTCCACGGACACGAGGGCTGCGTGGACCGTGTGCAGGGACTCGGGGGCGCACGCCAGGCCGCGCTCCAGCAGCCTGGGGTCGAACTGGGTGACACAGATGCCCAGTCGGTCCCCCTGCACAGCAGAGGCGACGGGCGTGTGGAACATCTGCATGGACTTCACCCTCCTCACCACCTGGTCGGGAGTAAGAGAGGGAGCTCTGCGGCCGGGCCTCAAGGCTGGGGGGCTCCAGCTGGAGAAGCCCCCGTCCCGGCGCCACCAACACTCACCGGCACCCGGCCACATGCCCCTTGCACGGAGCAGGCTCCGCCCTGCAAACGCGGCTCCAGGCTCACAGGGCACCCAGGCCGGGACGCAGGCAGCGGTTTCTGCAGCCCATCCAGCACCACCGGGGGTCCCCTCTCCTGCTCCACCCCCAGGCCCCATCGCACGCTTTCTTCCCCAGCCCCCTGGTTCAGGTTTGCTTCTCTGCCAGCCCCACACCTGCCAAGCCATGCCCGGCTGCCTGGAAAGCCCAGGACAAACACCGCTGCTCTGGAAACTCTGCCCAGACCCCCGTGGGCAGGACTTACTGTCTCTCCTCAGTGCTGCCCCAGCCCCTCCTGACCCACACCGCCGGCTGTGCTGTCACTGCCTGCTCTGGACCTGCCCGCTGCCAGCCGGCGGGCTTCTCCAGGGCAGAGTGGCTCTTCATTGACCAGACACACGGTCCCCTGGGGCTGCTGTGCGGCAGGCACTGTTCCGGGAGTGGGACGAAGCCAGCTACGTTTTCAAAGAGCTTAGCGTCCAGAAACAGCAACAACGTCACAAATATATTAATATTAACAAAATTTATGTTAATATAAAGACAACTGACACATAACATTTTTGTGCACAGATACACGTAAGTAATACCACCATAATCTGTATACTGTCTACGAGACGCTCCAGAGGAAACGACACGTGGTGACGCCGGAGGTGGCCCGGGGGTGGGGAGAGTCGGGCTGTTTGCCGTCAGAGGTCAGGGAGATCTCTGCGGAGCCCGCGTCTGAGTCGAGACCCCATCGTAAGAACCACCTGTGCGGAGGCCAGAGGAAGTCCACTCTAAATGGGGGGACCCACAGGTGCAAAGGCGGGGGTGGGGGGAGGCCCTGCAGTGTGGGGAGCAGGCCGGACGTCACCAGGAGGGATGGCAAAGGAGCGCCCGATCTGTTTCCAAACCATCACACCGACCAACACACCAGCACATTTCTGCACCCATGGCTGCTAAATCAGGAACAGACACAGAAAAGGCCCCAACAAACGTTCACAAAATGAACAAACGTCTACACCAAGATCCACGTCGCAGTGATAAGATCAGATCTGCGCTGGGACCTCTGGTTAGCGCAGCAGAGAAACGTGAAATCGATTTCAGAAAACCCGCCATCAAAAATCATCACACCAAAAACAACTCTGACCTTCAGGTCGCGAGCACCCCGTCTACGAAGTCGGGTGTGCGGAACCCCCGTTTTCTCCCCATGAAGGGGGTGCTGTGCTGACATGAGCCGTAGGAGCCCAGTCCTTTCCTGGAGAGCCTGATACTTAAGTGTTTGTTTAAAGACCATTAACGACCTAACCAGGAGGTCAGGGGGCAGAGAAAGTGAGAAGCACAGTGTCAAAAGCCACAGCCAAGATCAATCAAAGAGAAACATAAAACATCTCTGAAATGGTCTGTAAGGGCAACGGGAAACTAAGGTTCTCAGGAATGCACCTCAGAGTAACCGGAGAATATTATCTTACACTAAGCGTCTGCCCAGCGAGGTAGGACCCAGTCACGCCTCCTCCCCGCCACA